GTTTTACTTATTTGAAGGTTAAAAGGTTAATAAGCAGTTTTTTTAAAGAGTCAAGGGATTCATTTGCACGATTGCAGATTTATAAAACCCCAATTTGAGCCAAAATTTAATCTATTTATGAAAAAAATAAAATAGTAATGATTCTGCCCTTTGTGGACTTCTTTTTTTTTTTTTTATAAACTTTGTTTATTTGGTTTTTAATAAGAATTGCATAACCATACATTTACAATGTGATGCATATAAAACAAACCATACAATTCCCTTGAGTTATAAGAACAAAACAAAAAACACAACAAAACGACCTCCAATCACTCCCAGGCAATAAGAAAAAGTCATAAGAAAAAGGACACAAGCACACACACAAAAAAGAAGTTTTGAAATAGATAAAAATTAAGATGCATTCTGCTACACCTAAAAAAAATAAAAATAATAAAAAAAAATAATAAAAAGTACAGTTTGTGCCCAGGAAAGCAAATACAGAACCATAAGAAAAGGAAAATCCGAGAAAAAGGACACAGGATGAGCAGACAAATATATACACGAAGGACTAGACTGGGACAGAATCAAAATTAACTTGACCAACCAGTCGTCGTAATGGCTGCCAGATTTCTGCAAATTTGTCAGAGGAACCCCGTAGTGACATCCTAATTTTTTCAAGTTTAAGAAAATAAACAATATCCCTCAACCAAAGTATGAAAGAAGGAGGTTGTGGTGATTTCCATTTAAGAAGAATTATCCTCCTTGCAATAATGGTTATAAAGGACAAAGAATTTTACCCTTTGTGGACTTCTGTTTAAGTTTTTTTTTTTTTTTTTCAGTTACACTTTGATTTATGTCATTCTGTTCTGTTGGTCACTGGTTTCTTTTCCATTTTGTGTTATATTTAAGCAGTGTTGTATTTTTTGAGTTACTATCTGTTGCACCCTTGTGCAAGTCTCCTTTCCTCTAGCTCCCTTCTAGTTACTTTTATCCACACCTGCTCCCTATCAGCTGATTAGCCCATTCTTTGTTCTGTTCCCCATATATAAACCTCCTGTGCAGTTTCCATTGATAGATTGTCTTCATTGCTTCGCTCCTCATATGTGTTTCTTTATTGCATCACCTGGTTTTGTTTTTCTTTTTTTCTTGTTACTGGATTTGTGTTTTTGTTGACACCTGCATTTAAATTAAATCTGCAAGAACTCATCTCTGCAACTGGGTCCTCAACTAACTTCCACCAAACCTGACAAAAATGTCATTCTAAAACCTCGCTCTGCATCCTGAGGAGGACGAAATTTTACATTCCAACATTAAAAAAATTCCAAGATTGACAACAATAACACACTATTTATGCAATCTGTTATATAGACTTTCCA